TTGAAAGTATTAAAATCCTGGGATTGGAATGGGGGTATATAGTTTACAAGTTTCTACTTCTGTATAGTGAGTATATCTGGCATGATGTATGCATTTTTCTTTCTTCTTTTCTGATTTGGAAAAGATACTACTTAATATTAATTTCTTTCAAGACCTTGTTTTAAAAATTGACATTCTTGAAGAATTTTCATCACTTTTCAACAGTATTGTAGCCAAGATAAATTAACATTCAGAAAGTACAAACATTAATGGAATATACCATCACGGCTTTGGAAAGTTGAAATATTGGTGTAGAAAACATCAATCTTAAGTTGCAGATTTGATTAAGGCAGTATGTTTAAAGACATTCCATTTGATAAAAATAATAAAATAGTTTTCTTCCTAGGAATTTTGCTAAAAATAAAATTCAACAAATGAAGCTAAGTCTTTTATTAGACAGAAATGATAAAAGCATTTTAAATTATTTTGCTGTATTAGAAACATTTACTTTGCTTTATGAAGAACTAACTTCACTATGAATCACTGGTAACAATAAGCAAAAATATACCTAATTAAAAGGGATAAACAGGGAAACTGCATTCTGCTAAAAGGTTTCATAGAAAATGAATTAATATCAAAACTAAAGATGTGTGCACCAAATAGCATAACATCTAAATTCTTAAGGGAAAATTTAAATAAGAGATAAGAAATAGTAAAAATGTAACAAACTGAGGGAACTCAATTTATTCCCTCTCAGATCTAGATAAGTCTAACCATAAAATTAACAAGAAAGAAATTAAGGAGATGAATAGAATTTTTAAAAAGTTATATATGCTAGATTTCTGGAGAAAACTGAATAAGAATGGAAATTATGCCTATTTATCTTCTGTGCATGACACCTTCACAAAAGTTAATCATCTATTAAGACATAATCCTCACAAAGATGAAGAAAAGCAGAAATATTTCTGATTATAATACAATTAATTAAATTAAATTCAATAAAAAGTATTCGAAGAAAATATTACAAATTAATTGGAAATTAACAATACTAAAGAATGACTAGGTAAAGGAACAAATCATAGAAACAATAATTTCATTAAATATAATTACAGGAATGAGACAACATACCAACTATAAATATATTTGAACATGTTAATAAAAAAAAACAACAAAACAATATGATTATTTCAATAGATTAAAAAAAAACCTTTTTGCCAAAATATAACACCCATTCCCATTAAAAAACAGGAATAAATTAAGCTTTCCTTAAAATGATAACTAGTATCTATCTAAAAGCAAGAGCCAACCTTACCTGTAATGGAAACAAGCTTGAAGCCTTTTCAGTAAGATTGAGTGAAGCATGGATATATGTTACTATCATTGCTGTTCAGTCATGTAGTAGATATGCTAACTATAGTAATGAAAAAAAAGAATTTAAAGAATATGGAAAGGCAAAGAGGAAACAAAACTTTTTAAATTTTTTTTAATTTTTAGATGATGTGATGGTTTATTTAGAGAACTCTAGAGAGCCAACTTAAAAAAAAAAAAACAATTTAAACAGTCAATAACCTCAGACTCATCAGATTGGTTATTTTGACAAAAAAAAGTAAAAGTAAAATTCTGGTGGGGCTGTGAGAAAACAGGTATGCAAATGCACCATGCATGGAGTTGTGAAATGGGTCAACCATTTTGGAAATCAATTTGAAACTATATCCAAAAATGTATTAAATTATGCATATCCTTTGACCCAGTAATGCACTATTAGTTCTGTACCCTAAGGAAATAAAACAAAAAGGGAAAGGGCCCATATATACAAAAACATGTGGTGGTAGATAATTGGAAGCTGAGGGGATGCCCATCAATTGGGTAATGGCTGAATAAGTTATGCTATATGAAAGCAACAAAATACTATTGTGCCATAAGAAATGATGATGGGGAACATTTCAGAAAAAGCAGGGAAGATTTGTACAAACTGATGAAAAAAAGTGAACACAGTCATGAGGAATTTTTTTTCAATAATAACAATAGTTTAAAGGTAGTCAACTTTGAAATACTTAGAAACTCTGATTAGTACAGTGACCAACCACAATTTCAAAATATGTATGAGGAAACATGCTCTAGAGAGAGAAATGATGTGTAAATTGAAGTGGTTTTTGTGATTTTGTTTATTTGCTTTCTTATTTAAAAAAATTTTTTTTGGACATGGCTAACATGGGATTTTTTTTTTTTTGCTTTTCTCACTTCCTCAATGACTGGGAGGAGAGAAAAAAGGGGGAAATGGAACTGAAAATGAAATCAAATAGAATTTTTTTTTCAGAGGCAAAAAAGGTAGGGATTCTGAAAGGCAGAGGTGGGGGGGCGGTATATTCCAGGAATGGGGATCAACCTGTACAACTCAGTGGTTGGAAATGGAGTGTCAATGACAGGGAGCATGTTGGTCCAGTTTGATTGAAAAATAGACTGCATGACATTCAAAAAGAAGCCTGGAAAGGTGGATGAATGTTAGAATAAAGAGTGCTTTAAATACCAAGCTAAAAAGTTTTTATTTTAAAATAGAGATGATGGGGGAGATTAAAGATTTCGAAATATTAATTTGCAGCTTCTTGGAGGAAAAAAAATTTAGAAATGGAAGAAATTAGGAGTAGAGACTAATTAAGAAATCAGTGTAATAATCTAGGCAAGAAGTGATGGATGAGAAGTATCAAACTATCAATAAGCAAGCAATTATTAAGCCTCTACTAGTGCCAGGCATTCTTGTAGACACTGAGGATATAAAAAGAAATAGCTTCTGCTCTCAAGGAATTTACTTTCTAGTTGGGAAAAATAATACATATATATTTAAATATGTACAAATTAAATATAAAGGCATTTTTTAGGGATGGTATGCCAGCAGATGGAAGGATAAGGAAAGTCTATGTGGAGAAGATGGTGCCTGAGGTAAATTTTGAAGGAAACCAAAGTATTCTAAGGAAGAAGGGTATTTCTGGGAACTACACTCTCTACTCACAGTGAAAAGTTGTGCAACATATTAAACAAGAAGGATGACAAGATGACAACTGATTGATTATGGGGGGATGAGAAGGAAGAGTCATCAACTGACTTGTTGTAAACTCTCATAAATCAATGACATACAGAATCAGAGTTTTACACATGCCCGTTTCCAAGTAACAAAAATTAAACTTCCTAGTTACCATAATAACTAGTAACCATTTAGTTACTGTAATTTGAAAAATAGGCTAGATTCAGATTGTGGAGGGTCTTTAATAGCATTTCTGAGGTCTTCTTGGGAATTATCACTTTTCATTTCTTATAGATTTGAAAGATGTTTTGATCTAGTCTCAAACTGCATTTCTCATTCCTTTTATTTTCACTGAAGAGTCACGTGCTGTGACTGCTTTATCTTTCTGGATCTCAAATAATCTTTTATACTTTCTTTAGTGGCAGGCAACTAAGCAGATGCTTACTAGCTGTGTGAACCTGAGCAAGTCACTTACCCCTGTTTACCTCAGTTCCTCATCTATAAAATGTGTTAGGGAAGGAACCGCAAACTAGTCCAGTATCTTTGCCAAGAAAATCCCATATGGAGTCACAGACAGTCAGACATGACTGAAATGACAATAACAACAACAAAAACAACAACTTTCTATGGTGTATTCCATTATCCATAACTAAATATTATGCAGACCCAGATAAATCTCTAATAGTGGCAGATTGTTAAATGTAATCAGATGGCATCAGCCCTTAAAAAGGATCATTTAATTTTGAATTTTTACATTCTAAAGCTTCTCAGCACTTTAGTAGGGCATGTTAAGATGGAGGGCAATATCTCAGGAATGAAGTTTCTCTTCCTAGGGAGAAGACTCCAGTCTATGACATGTTCTAGATTCCATCACTATGGAAGACCTAAGTGGCAGAAACTAACACAACTTAACTGCTTCAGCAGCTTAGACTTACATGTGTGTATATACTTTAGGGATCCTGGTAAATTATGAAGTATTTGTTTTATCCCCTTGCTCTGTGATGAAAGGCTAAGAAGGAGCAGCATTCTAACAGATGATGGTAATTAAATATGTCCAAGAAATAGAAGCAGGGAAGGTTGGGAAAAGATAAAAGATTCTGAAACTATTTTATTAGTTAGCTTAATATTTCTTTTATTGTGAATGGTTTGCAGATTAAATGTGATTTCAAAAATGTTTTATCCAAACATTTAATATGCTGTCAGAATTGGAGACAATGTTATAAGAGGAAATGTTGAAGGAAATGGAGATGTTTAGCTCATGGAAGAGAGGGCTCAGAAGGGACATGATAGCTGTCTTCAAGTCTATGAAGAGTTGTTATGCGGAGAAACAACTATTTATTCTGTGCAATTCCATAGGCAAAAAGGATTGAGGGGTTGAAGTTATAGGGAGTCAGATTTTGGTTCAATATAAACCAGGGAAACCTTTCTAACATCTACAGTGGAATTGTTTGAACTGCTTTGTGAGTTTTGTTTGTTTTTTTTTTTTGTTTTGTTTTTGTTTTGTTTTGTTTTTGTTTGTTTGTTTTGGTCACTAGTAGCAATCAAGCAAAGGCAAGCCAACAGTCACAGAATGTTGAAGAGAGGATTTAAAAGTCAGTTAGGAGGACAGATCCTATTTGGCCTTCTGAGGTCCTTTCCAATGCTAAGAATGCATGAATCTATGAAACTAAAGAGATATAACCCAGTCTACAGTGATAAGTGTTGGGAAGTCTTTATGAAAGAAACTCATCAACACTTATAAATGTATTTTGTGTACACATAGAGTATGGAGCAGGCTAAAAGATTCCATAATACAGTTTCACAGCTTAGTCTATTGCTTTAAATTTGGTAAATCTTTTTTTTTTTTTTTTTTTAGTTTCCTTCAAATGTATCCAGGAAATGCATTATGTGTTGCATAAATTTCTGTTGGTTGCTTTCAGCATATCCTGGCCTTAACAAGTGAGAAGAAGCCACTGATCAGTCATTCTTACAGAGGTCCAGATGCGGGATTTTTTGAAGCACAATGTCATTAGGACCTTTACCTGTCTGTCAATGCCCCATTTACTTGAATGGATCTCAGAATGGGGCTGATTTCAATCCCTATTCACATAGGTTTGTTAGTGACTGTCCTCATGAAAGATTTGCAAAGAAAATCAGACATCCCCTCTGTGGACAAAGTTGTCATTCTTCCTCTCAACCGTCTAGATTTGGGAGTGACACCAAGAAGCAAGACCTGTATCTTTTAGGGAATGACATCCTTGTACTACCTGAGGAGAATAACAGTTATGTTGATTCTTTTCCAAGCTGTCAGCCTAGGTCTGAGGATGGTGTATTGTCTGAAGATGCCTCTAGTCAGGCCAGTCCTCTGAGATATCAAGCTGTACAAGAACTACTGAAGCAGTTTTCTGGGAACAAGCAAGATCATGCCCATGAAGTGTCTTCAGGAAACTTTAAGGAACAGGTGGTTATAAAATTCAGAAGAGCTCTTTATTTTTCTGGGCTTCGGGTATTATATGTCAGGGGTGGTGGATTCTATAGGCACATTTCAGCAGATTACTTCTTGAGAAACCCAAACTGTCTACAGCGATTAATTCCATGGTTGAAACGTGAGCTGATAACTATTTATGGTGAATATGGATACACAGCAAAAATTATCCTCACTACCATCCTCCAAAACATGACAGCACATGATCTAGACAGGCAGATCTTTTCTGAAATCTTGGGACCCTTTTTCTTGCAATACACCGAACACTTCTTACATGAGTTCATCAGTTTTGCTCAGTCACCTTTTAGCATGAAAAAGTATGACCAGCGAGCCATTTATGAGTGTCCTTCTCCTTCAAATGGAAGGGGAAATCTGTTCACTATCTCACCTACTAATGACAAATTGGCTTTACCAGCACTGGAAAATTATGTAGAGATGACCAAAATTATTCATGACTCATGGAATAAAGAAGTATTGCCTCACTCAAGCTCAAAGCATAATATGACATCTGAGTCATCTTCCGTGTCACCTGAAGGAAATCTAGCAAAGCCTACTAAGACCAGAAATGCACATCACCTTAGGACCCAAACTATGTCAGAGTCAGGAGACAGCAAGGGTGCAATTTCATCACAGAGTTGCATCCACATTGCTCATCTTAAATCAATGGGTGGGGATGCCATAGGATTGCTAGAATCACCCTCTAGAGTGAGATATACTTCTGAAGAAAAAAAAGAAGAGAGGAAGCTGCAGCTTTAACAGGACAACTGTTTAGGAGACAATAGAGCAAATTACTCTGTATCTGATATTTCAACCCCCTCAAATTCTAGCCTACAGAAAAAAAAAAAATTGTTTACTAGTTGTCAGCCAATGAAGACCCAGGAGAAAGAATCAGAAAAGAACAAAAATCCAGATTCCTTTGATAAGATCTTTCAAAGAAGCCCACCCATGATGAAGGAAACACAACAACATTTGTTTGGGAACTCATTCGAAAAGAAAGACCAAGCTTGGAGTTACTATTCAGAGAATGTCTATTCTCATAGAAGGCCCATTAAGAAAGGCCAGAGAGAACAGGCCTTCAGGAAGAAGAGGCTGAAATGTCAACCATCCTGCCAAGATGGAGAACTAAGTTCATACCATTATATAAGGCTGAAAAGTCCACAGATCAGGGCCTATAAAAATTGTCTTAAACAAGGGCTACCTCAAAGCACTGAAGACATACCACATTTGACTCATCGCCCTAAAAAGAGAAGGTCAAGAAGCAAAGATCAGAGTAATGGGGGCTTAAGCTATACAAGTGAACCTTTATTGACTATATCCTGTGAAGTTCAGGAAGGTGATAAAGGAAGTGATGATTACCAACCGTTTAGAAGAATTATTCTAGCTAATACAAGAGAGTTTATTAGTACAGGGGGGAGAGCCCAGAATCTTTGCAAAAGAGAAAAAGCTTTAAGAGTAAAAAGCCCCAACATCTGCCTCTATCCTGAGAAACACAGACAAAACTGTCAGTGCATGAAGATGTCAGGGACAGTGTGTGTAGGTGGTATCTCATCACACCATGAAAAGATAGGTAAGAAAAGAAGATTCAAATGCCAACATTCGGAGAAGGAAAATAATGAAACAATGCCTAACTCATTGCCCACTCCAGTTCAAATGCACCAAATCCAGTTGTCTACATCCTGCTACATACTGGGGCTCCCTAAACAATTTGTCAGCCCTATAGCCCAAGCTTCCAAAGATGCCATGGGTCATACTAAGAAGAGAAAGGAAAAATGTGACCAGAAAGTTGAAGGCGGAGATTATTTTAGTAGCAGAATCTATGAGAACAAATAGTTCTTAGAATGAGAACATATGAGAACAACAGAGTAAGAATGACTGAAGGGACGTACTACATCATTTTGTCACTGGAATTAAGCCTATTTTATTTAGTTAATAGAATAAAAATACATAACTTGTTTTGTTTTAAAATTATCTTTATAATGTTTGAAACATTTAAATTTTCAATAGGTTAAACCATTGTTAGAGGATTAAACAATATATATTCATTGAGCCTTTTACTTTAATTAATAAAAAATATATTTGCTGGCCAAACAGAAAGCCAGAGGAACTATAACAAAAAATATTGTATATGGTTATTAAAATAAGAATTGTAATTACTTGGCTCCATATAATAATCATCATGATCATCTATATAATAATGTATGAGAAATGTGGTGATGGTGATGATTATGGTGAGGATAATAGCAAGATAGAATTTTGTACCAGGTTTATTTCTATATGAACCCCAATGGAAGGAAAAAAAGAAAAAAAAACAAAAGGATCATGATCAGGAGAATATTAATTCACATTTATATAGTATTTTAAAGTTTGTAAAGTGATTTTTATCACAAGCTAGTCAGATATGTGGATCCTATTAGATAGGTAGAAGATAAGGCTCATTGTTAAAGGTATATTTGATCCTGAGCATTAATGGTTTATTTGTTATATTTAGAAATACTTTTATTTTTTGGGGTCTCATCATCATCATTATTATTAAATTGATGATACATATAGAATTTTAATTTTTGAAAAATGCTTTTATAGATATATCATTTTTTTTCACAAATTACTTCATCTTCATCTTACTCAAAGCTCAGGAAGTTTCAGAGACATTACTTCTAATAATTGTCAGAGATGAGATTTGAACCTCTGTCTCCCGAACTAAGGAAAACACAAGATCCACTAAGGCAAGGTGCCTCATTTATCAAACTCTCTTCATGTGTAGCATTTTTATACTAAATGGTCTTTTAGGCCTCAGAAAGAATGTGTCTTCTCTATCATCTTGTTACTACTAAGGACATGGTTAAGAACCCACTGAAATAAACTGCCTTAACATTTCTCAGGAGAGGCACATGCCAATAGTTTTGTTTTCTCTGAAAGAGATATAAAATGATGGCTTTTGACTCATCAAAACTTCCCCAAGAAAGGTGACCATAGTCAACTGTTGTTTGGCAGCATCAGCCCTAACTTATTTTGTGAAATAGTTGAAACTTTTTCTTGGTATTCTTGGGCTTTCCATACTAGCCTCTTCCTTAGTTCCTGATATTCAACTCAATCTCCATCTTGTCCTCCATTCTTGCTTTCAGATGATTATCAAGCAATCCCAGCTAAGATTAGAATAAATTGTTAGCTGACATGGTTTAAGTTGTGATCCCACCACAGGGGATTTGTATTTTTAAAACTGGGCTACTTTCTTTCTCAAAGATCACTTCTCCAAAAATATGACTTTAAGAAGATATTTGATGTACTCCCTCAGAAGGCATGCACTTATCAAAAAATAATCCTGAGAAGACATTGATGATATTCCTATAAAATATTTATTCATCAGTCTTCAGTGATTTTGCTTGTTTTGACTACTTGAAATAGATGGTTGCTTCATAATTGATCAGATTGGCCATGGGTCGATTTACCCATCTGCTAATGCAGCCAGGATTCCCACATTGTTTCATGATCCAGCGTTTATTGTCATCTTTGGATTAGCAAGGCAGTCATGTTCTTTTTAACTAGTTAATATTTTGTTTGTATATGTGGCCCTCACTGACATAAAATAAATAATTTTATTTATAAAGTTAAAAAAAAAAAGAAGGCATGAACTTGACTTCAGGATGAAAAACAGCATAATCCTTACTAAAAGCCATACAATCACATGATCAAAAGTAAAAATATAGGCGTTTTCATAAAAACAGTAGCAAAGCCTAATGTAACTTAGAAATAGGCCAATGCCTAGTAGTCTTTAAGCATTTGCAAAGAAATAGCATATTCAAATATTTTTCCTTCAGAAACAATTACTGTGAACTAATTAAAGATTCCTTCAGTTGAAAGCCAAAGTGACAAATCATGTTTGTAGGTTATCAACCTTTCATTTTTATTATATTTAATTTCAATAAAGTTTTCTGTGAGGTGCTAATAAAAAGTGAAAATTTTGTAGTAGGGTCCTCTGACTTCAATGCTAGGTAGACCAGAGGCATTTCTTATATAATATGTCATGATTCAACACAATTTTCTGTATAATAGTTCTAATTGTGCCTTCCCAAATACATCCCAACATAACCTGATGATCCTGGTATGCTGGATGTCAGTCCTCTCTCAACATGAGTCTTAAAAAGTGGTTTTCTAGACGTTCAATAAAGTTCTCAGTGCACAAGAAAATTTGTTAATTAATTAACTCCTTCCAGAATAGTGCAATTAAAATTTTGGTGGGTGGGAGTTGAATTACATAAGTATCCTAATTACATAGGATACAAGAGGCTTTCTCTTATATAAAGATATGAGAAACTTTCTCTTAAATGAAAAATGTAAAAATATTCAATTTAGGTCCCTTACCCCTCTCAATATTGAGACAAAAGTCAGTCAGTCTTAAAAAGTAGAGGCTGGTGGGGCAGATTTCTGTTCACAAAAGCAATCTTGTTAAAAAGTCTGCTTTAAAACAAACCATAAAATCCCAAAAGACTAATAAGTCTTATATATTATTAGCCTGGACAATTAAAAATAAATTGGTTACTTTTTGAGTTTTGAGCTCCTTCTTTTTCTCCTTCCCAACCACACACACACAGACACACACACACACACACACACACACACACACAAAATCATATAATACATACTTCCATATATTGGTTCTTTCTCTGGAGGTGGATAGCATCTTCCTTCATAGGTCCTTTGTAGTTGATTAGAATACTCACATCACTCAGAATAGCTGAGTCATTCACAGTTACTCGTCAAACAATGTTGCTTTTACTGTGTACAACATTGTCTTTTTACTCAGCAAGCTTGGACAACTTTAAAGAAACATGTGATGAAAATATTTCTGAGTACTCAGGAATTCTTGGTTTGGTTTAACTGGAAGTTGAGGCAGGACCAATTGAAGAATGAGGTATTCTTTATGAAAAGTGGAAACTAGTATTCTCCACTGAAGTTATGTTTTGCTTGAGTTAGCTTATCCAACAAAAACCAAATCCAGACCCTCTTTGGTGCTGTGGGACATCACAAAATTGAAAGGCAAAATTAAAGCAAATTCAAAGAGGGCCAGAAATTTGACTTTCAGACTGATAGGATAAGAATTAGGACCAAGAGACACATATATAGGAATGCATAAAACCAATTTATAAAGCAATACACACATGGCAATGCCTTTATGCCTTTATTGTTATACACATATTAGCTGGGGGGGAGTGTAGAGTATTTAAGTTCTTTTACCATGTGTTATTTATTTTTTTAAACAAAGGAAAATTCAGACTATTGAAAAGAAAGAAGTGACCTTCATAAATACAAATGTGGTGTGTGTGTGTGTGTGTGTGTGTGTGTGTGTGTGTGTGAATTAAATATCTTCTGGTTGGAACAAGACATAATTAAGATTTCTAAATCATTCTGAACTAAGGAGCAATGGTCTCTCTCTTACATAAAGCTTTTTTTCTTTAGAAACTATAATTATTCCCCTGGCATACAATATGTGCTAACTTCTGTCGGACACAACCAAAAGCTATAGGATGTTTTTGTTTCTTTTCATTTCATTGTATCTTGGCATCTAGTTCCATGATTAATCAACCCCTCAGATTTTTAGAGGGCCAGTGGACAAGATGGAAGATTGATCTGTAGGATACAAGAGGCTTTCTCTTATATAAAGATATGAGAAACTTTCTCTTAAATGAAAAATGTAAAAATATGTCCTACCCTCAGTTGGTTCCATTCCCCATAGAGACTCCACTCAAATTTCTGAATAATAATAAATTTGGAGGACCATGGTTTCTGTAGGGAGAGTTTCCAAATGAAAATTTTGAAAAATAGCAGTACATGGAAACTCATCTATCTTCTACAATGCTATCATTCTAAAAGGTAGAATATTCCAGGTGAGGGAGATAAAGCACTTTTCAATTGACTAGAGGGCAGTTGAAGTAATTTCCTGGTAATGGTACAAGACCCTCTTGAGTGTGTTATCTCATTTTTCCTTTGAAATAGTTTTTGTTCCTTTCCAATTTCACAATTTTACATTTTTTTAAAAAAAGGTTCAACATAGTCCACACATTTGATTTTCTTGTTCATATGTCTTGACTGAGGCTATTTCTCCAAGTAACCAATGAAAATAAATTCCTCCTATTTCTAGAACATAAGAACAATTTTGCCTTTAAAAAACAATATTATTTTGAGTGGGAGAACAGCCCTGGCCTATTGAATCAATTATTTTAAAGACTGGGGGATAGAAAATGAAAGGTTAGATTAGGTTAGGTTAAGAAAGATAGTGTATAACTGAGGCTGAGTGCTAGGAGGAAGAGAAGAATGAAGAAAATGAACAAAACAAAGACAAAATGAAGAAGCAAAGGAAATGAAGGGTAATCAAGGTTAAATGGTTGCCCAAGGTCACCCAGCTAGAGAGCAGCAAAGTTGGAATTTGATCAAGTCACTCCGTGTAGCCCTCATTCCCAGGCAGATAACTGACTTTCAAACAAAAGTAAGTAAATAAGAATATAGGGACTGTTATAAAAGGTCAGAACCAAGTCCGTATAAACCAACAACCTGTTACCAAGGATTAAGTGTTGAGCCCCCTAAGAAAAGGCATGATTATCCTAAGTATTAACTTTAAAAGTCTGGCACATTGCAGTTTCTCCTAACAGTGATTTATGGCTCTTATCATTCATAGAATAACAGAATTTCAGAGTTAAAAGTGGCTGCAGCAATTACGTAGTCCAATGCAAACCTGAAAAAGAATCCTTGATACAACACATCAAAAAGTTTTCATCTCACCTTTCTTTAACGATTTCTAGTAAGGGAAAGGTGATTTCACCAAATAGCTTTAATGG